AGGAAAATATTATTTTCCTCGTAAGAGCCTCGTAAATTTACTTCCACTTTACGAGGAAACGCTTTTCTCGTAAGTTTACGAGAACCTTACGAGGAAAAGATGTTTCCTCGTAAAGTCGAAGTAAACTAGTAGTATTTTTACGAGGAAATGTTTTCCTAGTAAATTTTCCTAGTAATGGCTTAGTTTTCTTGTAGTGAATCCAGTAGACGTTAGTACATACTTTCAGTATTATATACTTAAGTAAGTACTGTTTCGACCAAAAACATAAGTAAACGATTTAAGCAAGTAGTACAATTTAACCAATTACCACCTTTTTCATTTGTGATCAATTTTTAAAGAAATCACAACGCCTTTATTAGCACGATATATTTTTCTAAACAGTATACTACCGACGTGTTTACACATTATTACGAAATTATGTAGCGTTAAAAACATAAAATATGTTTTTTGGAACAGAAAACATATAAAATGTTATTTATTTGCTTATTGGTTGATTCTATGAGAGATAGAAAGACTGAAGAGGCTAAGGAGAACAGGTCGGTTGTAAATTTCGTTTAAAAGAAAGCTTTTAGTTCTTGCAGTGAGTGGTGTCTTCCTCTTGATCTTCGCATCTCCTTTCATCCTTGCACGTTTCTTATATAGAGAAACTAAAATATAAAAACAAATTAAAGTTTAAAAATAAACGGAATTTTGAGTATCCCATACTTCTTAACAAATTATATATAAACTCAAATTAAAATATATAGTATTAAAGCCCTTTCTCAAAAAAAAAAAAATATATATATATATATACTACTAGAATCACTCGATTATAGAATTATCCTTTAAATGTTGTTTCCACAATTATCTATACTTTAGGTGTTTATATCTGAATGTGAATGTGAATGTGAATGTGTCAGTGTGAAGAGAAAAATGTTAATAAGTAATGTTAATACATTAAACTCATGGATAATGAAGTACGATATCTATATTATTATTTGCGAAGTGATTTTTCGCAACGGAACTCCTACGTTAAAAGTTAGAGTGGTTAATATCGTTTATACGCTTAATGAATAAAATATATAAATCAGCCAAAAATAAAAAAAACGAATTTATATTTATTTGATTAGATAAATGATTTAAATTAATAATAATGATAAAAATTATCCATAATCTAAATATATATTTAAAAATAAAATAAAAAAGATAATTCCTATATATATTGTGTTCTTATCAGAAAAATATATTTAATTAATATATAATCAACCATAAATTAGAAACAAATTTCACTGATTTGATGACTATTATTATCTAAAAATAGTTGATATTAATAAACTTAAACTAAAACTGAACTAATATATAAATAACAATAAATTAATTATATTTAAATAAGTGAATTTGCTGATTTATCATATTCTCCATAATTTTATGTAATTATACTTATTTATCATGTTTTTATGATTTTGACTAATAATTAATTATTACCCTTAATTAATGACTAAATAAAATTATAATTATATAATTATGAACCGTATATTAATTACATTTACTACCCTTAATGACAATACAAACATAATCTTAATGACTAATTGGATTTATTACTATATAATGACTAATTAGATCTATTACTATATAATAATTAGAAACAAATCTTATTTGTCATGTTTCTTATGATTTGATGATTATCATTATCTAGACTAATGATTATGATAAATATAATTATTCATTATATAGTAATAAATCTAATTAGTCATTAAGTTTATGTTTGCTTCGCCATTAAGGATAGTAAATCTAATTGTCTTGTTCTTATGATTTTTACTACCGCTAATGACAAAACAAACATAAACTTAATGACTAATTAGATTTATTACTATATAATGATTAATAGTTATTACTATTTGACCAAAAAAATTTTTATTACTAACTAATAATTAAAATTTTCAGTATGTAATTAAATATAAGTAAAAACCGAATTTCAATGATTTTAGATTTATCTTTATATAAAAATATTTTATATTGGATTATAAAATCTTTATTAACCTTGAAATATAATTATATTTTTAATAATATATCATTAATTATAAATTAAAAATAAATTTCATTTATTTGATAATCATCCTTATTTTTTTTTATATTATGTCTTTATAAACATTGAAAAATAATTATATTTAAAATAATTATATTTGTTAATATAATTAATTCTAAATTAAAAATGAATTTCATGAATTTGATAATTATCATTATCTAATTTTTATATTGTGTTATAAGTCTTTATTAACCTTAAAAAATAAATATATTTGTTAATATATATTTAATTATGAAAAAAATAATTTGCAAAGAATCTATGTATAGATAGTTTACATTACTAAAGATAATTTTATTATACTTTTTGTTATGTCTAAAATTGATATTAATTTATTACTAAATATTTTAAATTTATGAGTATTTTCACATTTAATTTGTGTAATGACAATTATTTATATGATGATGAAAAATTTTATATATAGAAAAAATTTGTTTAGATTATTATTAAATATTTTGAGTGTATGAACAATAATTTATTATAATTTACTTAAATTGATTATATTTGTTTATAGATATTAGAAAATTATTAAGCCCGCAAATGTGGGCAAAACACCTAGTTTAAGAATATATGCATTTATCAAGATTTTTGTGAATAATATATCATATTAAGAATCCACTCAAACCGGGACATGGTCTAATGTTTATATATATTAATATGAATCACAAGATATATACCAACAAGAAATTAATTCCAATGCTGTAAAGCTTTTTAATCCCAATTATATATATATACTTGAAATTTAGAGTATATATATATAGGACCATAAAATCAGATCATGAGCCTCCTATTTTTGAAAGATTGTTATCCCAACTATACTTGAACTTCCAAGGAGTTGCACCATTGATAGATTGATAAATGCCATCTCCCCTCACTGACCATCTTATCCAAGCGTTATCGTCATGATACTGCCTACTTTCGAACGCGACTATCACCTGAAAATGCTCCAGACGAGGACCTTGCCATATGTTGCACCAAAATAGTGTTGTACCAAATATATTATCGCTAAATCCGACTTTGTACACTCCTCCGTATTTCCTCACGTGCCACCCCATATCGTTGTTTTTGGATTTGCAGTGGACTTTCATTGGGGATCCATGACGCACCTGGTTATAGATAAAGAACGAACCTCCTATCGCTTGTTCGGTGTGTATGCTTAAGAGGATCAGGATTACTACTGTAAGACGAAACATTGTTAGTTCTTGTGGTTGTTGATTCTTTTAGTAATGAATGTTCTCAAGTATTTATACACGTTTTGCCGTTTTGATTATTTGGTTTGAAAGGCTACGCGTAAAAGTCTCTCTGTTTTAAGAAAATTTATCTTCTGTTTTAACTGTGTTTTTTTCGGTTACTGTACCAAAGAAGAAGAAAAACAGCTATCAGCTTTTAAATGCTCATCAAGGTAATGTATCTGAATGTAACGGCCAATAGATATCGAATGAGCCTTCGTATCTGTTGTTGTGTCGCGTATCGGATAGAGTTAGCTAAATTTTGTATGACATGGCTCAGTTTATTGGATGATTTTGGATAACTAATTTGCCTGGCATATAGCAGGGTTTTTTTTTTTGTAATTGAATAATGCATTAAAATTAAAATAGGACATGGGCCAATGGCCCAAACTCGGAGTTCAACCAGAATTGAGAAAGGTCTGAAGGACCTGATTAACTAAACCGTCGGCTACAACATTGCCAGAACGGTGAATATGCAAAAAGGAAATAAATGAAAACTCAGAAGAGATTGATCTGATGTCTTTAACGATGTCGATGATTTCCTTGAACTGGGTTTTGTCAGAGATTGCTCTGATGAGCATTAGTGAATCGGAGTAGACTTTTAAGGTGGAGAAATCCCAGGTGAGAACCTTACAAAGGATTGCTCACATCACTTTAGCTTCCGCTACAAGGGGAAAGAGACAAAGTTTTCCACCACCGATCCACTGATCGGAGAGTCCAGGCTTGTTTTGGAGAAGATCCATCCCAAACCTGCGATCCAGATGAGTCTATCAAACTTTTTAGAAAACCATTCCTTTTTTTTAATCAAATGTCTACATGATTAAACCATGTTTTGTTCGATGGAAGAAATATATCAAAAAACAATGCTAACTGCCACTGGCTATGTATGGTTTACATGAAAAAAGCTATGCATTGATTCTAGCCTCATTTGCTAATGAGAAAACCATATATTCTCTTTTTTTTCTTCTTCTTTGGAACACTACTTAATTTCGTTTAAACTTAACTTTTTGGACACATCACGAGAGAATTATCCATCTTCTTTACCATAAGCATAAATTACAATAGAGAAGATGTTTTACTGGAAAAAAAACTGATCAAAGTTCATAAATGCATGAGAGCGTTTTCATAAGCATTAATTTGTTTCAAATTAATCAATTTCAAAATATAGAAATATGTTTTACTGGAAAAAAATGATCAAAGTTATTTATTAAAAAATATTCCTTCCGTTTCACTTTCGTTGCCATTTTGAATTTTTGTACACATGTTAAAAAAATATTTAATTTCATATACTTTCAAGATAAAAACACATTTACCTATACATCTAAACATTTTTCAACAAATACAAAAATAGAATAATAAATTAATAACTTTTGTATTAAAATTATAAAACAATATTTATTTAAAATAAGAAATTTACTCTACAACGATAAGTAAATTGAGACGAAGGGATACATTTATCAAACCTTCCAAGAGTATATACATTTATCAAGGTCTGATTCTTACATATTCCGTGAATGGATCATAATACCAATATTACAGTAATACACAACTAGTTGAGACATATATATTAAATACAGAACACACACATATATATATAGTATATATGAACATATAAGGAGATCATGATGAGAACCTTATTTTAAAGTTTACCATACCAATGATACTTGAATTTCCAAGGCGTTGCACCATTGATAGATTGATAAATACCATCTCCCCTTATCGACCATCTTATCCAATTCTGTCTGTGTTCATACTGCTTACCTTCGTACGCGACGAAAGAAGCATTCTTACTGAAATTAGGACCTGACCAGATGTTGCACCAATAAAGTGTTTTATCAAGTATATGATCCTTGAAATTAAAACCGTACTCTCCTCCGTATTTCCTCACATGCCAACCCATATCGTTGTCTCCTGATTTGCAATGAACTTTCATTAGGACCCCGTGGCGTACGTTGTTATAGAGAAAGAACGACCCTCCATTCGCTTGTTCTGCGTATACACTCAAAAGGATCAGGATTATTGTAAAACGAAACATATTTTTTTTTGTTTTCTTTTTGTTTTTTTGTTTGTTTTAGTAATGGGTGTTTCTAAGTATTTATATACGTTTTGATCGATGCCAAAAAAATATATATACGACGTTTTGATCATTGTTTTAAAAGGCTGCGAGTAAAAGTCTCTTCTATTTTAAATATGCTTGTGTTGGATTTGCATTTTACCATTAAAAATAAAGAAATTAATCAGACAATGATTCTTGAAGACTTCAAGAGGTACATTCAGAGATTTAGCGGTTCTGTTTTCTCTAGCTTCCCCCCATGCATCGTAAAATCAAACACTTGGTGTTGCTTGAAATTAGGTCCTTTGCAGAGTCAGCAATATTGGTTCAATAAATGTACCAATAATATGAAATGGTTTGGCCAATTTCTTTATGTTCCTTATGTGTTATTGTTTATGCAAACCAACATTATATCAAGCATAAATGTGCTACTAGCTAGGTGAATATTTTGATACAAACGTTTAAAAAAAATTGATACAACCAACTACAAAAGTGATAATCTTATTATATAAAGATGCTTTAATAGAATAATATTTGTCATGTTAAAGAGGTTGACCATTGATCCACCTTTGGAACATGATATAACTCTCCTCTGGTTTATACTCTGGAGTGTGTCCCCCTCCCTACAATCAAACCCACAAACTCAATTAAGAAACATATAAGTGCAAACCGCTTTCAAAATGTTTGAGTGGAAACAAATAAAAGACTTGCTTTGATAGTAGCAAATGTCATCTTATTGGCATAACTCCTCGTGTATCTGTCAAAATCAGTGTGAATCTAATGAACTCATTTGATAACATAATGAAAATAACAAGAGAAATCATCAATAAAACAAAAGGTTATATACCCAGCGATTTGATCGCCTATCATCCAAGGTCTCCAATCATCAATGACAGGATAGTTAAGAGACCTAATCCAGGCTTGAGTTCCAAGGAAAGGCATATACATGTCATGATCACCACTGTTCACCAAAAATAAACTCACAGAATGTAGAAAATGTCTTGTCTTGAACAAAGCCGGTTTTGAGATTTTGGGATCTATAGATGATTTAGTAAATGTTTATATATTTTTTTTTTTAATTTTGAAAGTTTATATTTATAAAAAAAAAATTCTAAGCTTTTGAAGGCTATAGGCTAATGTTTCATTGGCCTATTCTCATGACCAGTCCTGGTCTTGAATCTTGTACTACTACTTCAAAAGGCAATAGGCTATTCTGACCTGAAGATGAGAGAAGGATAGCCACTGATGCTGTTGTTCATATGGTAAGGCACACTGCTTTTAATGTCATTAGTGTAAGGCATGTCCCAGTAACAACGTACCCATTCCTCTTTACTCTCCTGCAACCATACATCCTCGTTAATTACCAAAAGATAATGGATTTTAACTTTTGGCATATGCAATACCTTAGCGATTTGAAGAGCCCTGCGCACGCTCTCATCATTGGCCCAGTAGGTAGTTAACACGTACCGATAAGTCTGCAAATTTAAACATACATAGTTTTGTTCTCAGTGATTTAGTGTTAAGAGAAGGCAAGATGAATTACTTACATAGCAATCAGGAGACGTATCTTTAGATTCTTCACATAATGGCGTTAAGATAAATGCGAAGTATAATCCATCAATGCACTATAGAGATCACCACAAAAATCCGAACAAGTGATAAGTTATGACTAGGAGACATAGTAATATGATGAGTGTATGTTAATGTGACCTTATGATATTCTTCAACGAGTTTTAAGCATTCCGTGTTACTTGGATCAACAGTTTCATATTCACCTTTGCAGATTCTCTTCATCGACTGTTTACAAAAAAAAAAGAGTTTTGAATTGCTTTGGTATTTACTTTTAAACAACGTATGTCATGTATGTTTGGTACCTCGTAGAGTTCATCAGAGATCAGTGCCATTCCATGAGCATAAGGGACGCGATAGTTATAATCAATTTCAGTTTCTGTTAGCGGGTTTCCAAGCACATAGCCCTTAAGGTTTATCGGAGGCTTGCAGCATAAGTAATTTCCTGCGTTCTGCACTATTTATAAAATTGCAAAAAACAATTGACTTAAAAGTAGTAAATGAAGAAGAAACAAAAAAACATTATACCGTTTGAGATTTCTTGAACGAGTGCAGGAACAACCATACCGGAGTAAGAATCTCCACTGACATAGAAAGGGTTGGTGAAAAACTCTTGATGCTTGCCTAGCCACTGCACAACACCCCCCAAGCAATACAACAGGCTCATGAATAAGAATGTTAAATAGTCAGTCCAAACTCAAATATGACAATATTGGAATATAACCAAACTCAAATAAGAGATTGTTAGAGCATTATGCTTTCAGTTATCCAATCAACATTTGCCAAAGAAGTATTTAGAAAAATATTTATTAAATGTAAATGCTCTCGAAATGTTCTTTACTCAATGCTCTCATATAGAGTTTCTGGGAGAGCATTTACAAATAAAATATATAAAACTTTAAAATAAATAGATAAATAATTTATTTTCATTTAATAATATAAAATAATATTTTTATAATAAAAAAATATATTTATCTTTTAAAACATAAAAATTATAATTAAATATTTTAAAACTTTTACAAAAAAATATTTCACATTTAAAATATAATATAATTTATATAATTATAGATATCCTTCATTATTTTTAATAACAAACATAACATATATATATTTATATATTATAGATATAATCATATTATTTAGACACTAATAATTAAATTACATAAAATATATTAATTTTATGATAATTTTATATATGATTTATTTATTGCTCTACTAATCACCTTGTGAAGAAACTCGTGGATCAGCTTGACTCCTCCAGAATCACTTGGTTTATTAGCAAGCTGAGTTCTTGAGTAGGAGAAGCCAGTTCCAACAGGCTGATCCAGATATATTATACTCGAAATCTGAAACACAACTTAACAAAGTTCATTCATAAAGAAATGAGGCTTGTAATCTATCATATATATATGCACAACCCTTTCACCTTGGTCCATGAATATGTAGTAGAGACCAAGGAAGGAAGAGTTCCATTATAAACCTCAAGCTTCACAGTCAAAGGCCCTGCTTGATTCAAAACAAGTCAGAAAGCAGAAACACAAACGTAACCAATGAGTTTTTAAGATAATTAATTTTACCATTCTCGTAAAGAAGACCAGAGATAGAAGAGCAACCAGGTCCTCCACTTAACCAGATAAGGAGAGGGTCTTCTTCTGGATTCCTCTCAGACTTGATGAAGTAGTAGAACAGTTGCACTTGCTCTTCTTCACCAACACCAATATACCTTTTTTTAAAATCACATACATAATTAACTCTCCACAACTCAGAACAAACATGTCTATATATAGTAGAGTTTTTTTCTTTTCAAGAGAGTAAAAAAAAAGAAGAACCCGGTTTCGAGCTCAAAAGGAAGTGGACCGTCAAAACCAGGAAGATGGTTGATGATGTTGGCAGAATCAGCATCATTATGACACATGATAAGAAGAAGCAGCAAGAACTTGGGAACAGATAATGAAACGTAGTCTTTAGCCATTGGTGTTATGATAAGTAGTATTAAGGACAGTAACTGAATCATTTAATAGTATAAACACACACACACACAAAAGGCGTGGCGTAAGGCACTTTTCTCCTCCTCACTATATATCTCCATCTTTGAATATTTTGACTGCTTCTTCGAAGCTGTCACGTTTTATTTTCTTAAAAGTCGTTGTGATGCAAAAATGCATATATAATAATTATGTGATAGACCTCTCAGGTAAGCTAATTTTAGATAATATTGGTAAATGATTGGCGCGCACGGTTCCCTGAGACTCAGTTTTATAATTATGTGATTAGCGGAAACAAAAGAAGATTGAAGAAGATAAGAGACGAGTGACCTTGGTAACACACAGTGGTCCAAGAATTATCAATCAAGTGGCCCACCATACCATGGAATACTTGGTCTTAATTTCAAGTTAAAATTCTATACTTAATATTTTCTAGTATAGAAATGAATCTAACAAAAGCTTTTTTTTAGAAACCATATACATTCGTATTATGTTAAACAAACATATAAACATCATCACAAAGACTTAACTGAGTTCAACAGTACTAAATCCCCATTCCAACTGTTCCATTGTCACTTATAGTAGCAAGATCACTCGCTAGCTCTCAGTGAAGCCAAAAACACACACCTACACAGATATATACAGTTTCTAAATTTGTGGTGATTATAGCAAAAAGCAGAACTGAGCAAGAGAGAAGCTGGACCTTTTATTGTTGGCTTCGTCATTTATTTGCAATGAGTTACCGTCTGAACTCTCTGAAGCTGAAAACAGAACGGTCATAGGGTAAAGGTGTTAAGAGGTTCCTATGTTGGACAATGATAACTAAAAAAGCTACCATTCTAATCTTAGCCGTTGCTTTCTCTTACCACTCTTATGACCCTCTCCCTTTGGATGAAAGGTTTCGCAAGCCCCACCAGAAGCTTTTGCACGATCCTGAAAGTTAGAACAAAGCAGAAAAAAAAAGGTTTGAACAATGTACTCGTATGGTGCTAATGTCCTCTTATAGAGGTTCACAAAAAAAGCCAATTCTCATATAATACCTTGTCTTCTGATGCGTCGTGGTGCATACATGGAATCTTTTGTGGCTGGAAAGAAAAGTTTACAGCCTCTCAACTACGTAAAACAGTTTAGATAATAAAAACTCACATACAAATTAACAGACCTCAAGCGGCAGTTTCCTGGCCATGAGTACCCCATTCTTGCAACTAAGTTCGTGTTGAAGTGCCTTCAGATGAAATACACAGAAAATTCCAGCTGAAGAACTTATAGTTAATGATTAAACAACAGTCCTGTGTTTGAGCAACTTTGGTTCCAGACTAAAAACATACTTGGTCTTTGCTTGTTCTGATCTCCTGCCAGGAAACAATAATAAAAAAGGGAATCACATTGTAACCAAAGAGTTCCCCAAATCATATATCCAAACGAATCATTCAAAAAAAAAAGAGAGATGTACAGCCAAAATACGAGTGCAGAAACATGACTCAAATGCAATTCTTGAAGGTTTACAAGATTCTCTATCCCTCTAAAGGATTAAGAGAATGGATTTGAATGTGAGCCATTTTGTTTCTTTTACAACTCTCCATTGATAATGGCGACAAATATATATTGGCTTCACTGTATGATCCTCCGTAGTTGCAAGTGCAACTATTACACGTTCGAAAATAAAATTTTTGTTTCTTAAAACTCAGGTGTACAACATTTGTAGGGTTTAGCCGTTTAGGTTTACGGTTAAAACCGAAAACCAAAACGGGACTGATCAGAAATAACCGGACACGGTTTGGTTTTGGGCATATTTCAAACATTCTTACCGGGTCCGATTAATGATAATTAGTTTTAATGGGCTTTTGAGATCAAAATTTATGAAAACAGTAAGATGAAGAAAGAAGAACCAAGGAAGATTGTGACGTCGGTTACAAACAAGTTGACTGATGTGGATGTCTTGTTCATCAAGTATTTCATAGTGTCCCGTACTGATTTATAAATTAATTAAGTGAAATTTCATTTTCAAATCACAGGAAATATCCAAGAACTTGGGTTTGTACAACTAGCAAGAATGGATCGAACAGTCTCGAACCTAGTTTTTTTTATAAGAAGATAACTTTATTTCCATTAAAGTCAACGTTTTCTCATTAGATCCACAAGAACTCTTTGTAAAATCATTACTCTCTAACTCGTAGAATCTCTGTGATCTATTGATCTTCTCGTAATGGATCTTTACCTTCTCCTAATTGTGATAGTTGCTACGCTTTTGTGTAGTAGTATAATCTTTTCTTTTGTTTATGGAAAGTTCAGATTCCAAGAAAACAGAATAATTGCTTCATCTCCTTCTTCATCATCTCCCATGTCGTCTTTGCCTATACACGATGTCTTCCCTAGCTTCCACGGAGCAGATGTCCGTAATTCCTTTCTCAGTCATCTTGTCAAGGAGTTTGGGAGCAAAGGAATCAACTTGTTCATTGATAACGAGATCACTAGAGGAGAGTTTATCGGTCCTGAGCTCAAGAAGGCAATCCAAGGATCAAGAATCGCAATCGTGTTGCTCTCCAAGAGATACGCTTCTTCCTCTTGGTGTCTCGACGAGTTAGTGGAGATTATTAAGTGTAAGGAAGAGTTAGGTCAAACGGTGATGCCCGTTTTCTATAAAGTGGATCCAACTGATGTCAAGAAGCAGGCCGGTGAGTTTGGGAAGGTCTTTAAAGAAACTTGTAAAGGTAAAAGAAACGAGGTTACTAGGAAATGGAGTCAAGCTCTAGCAAAAGTGGCCACACTCGCTGGTTACCATTCAAAGAACTGGTTCGTCCTCTTGTTCATAAGCTTTCCAAACACAAATCAAACTATCATGGGATAAATGTATACTAACCCTAACATTTTATATACTATTACTTAAGCCGAGATACTTTTATTCCTAATAAAACTATGAATATATATTTTGAAACAATTTTAATTGACTTTTGACATATTTTTGAATATTGTTGTATAAAGGGATAATGAGGCAAAAATGATTGAACATGTTGCTACCGAAGTCTCAAACAAGTTGTTTAACTCCACGCCTCCAAGAGATTTGGACGAATTCATAGGGATGGAAGCTCACATGAACAAGATTTCGTGGGTTTTACGCACAGATTTGGATGAAGTGAGGATGATAGGGATTTGGGGGCCGGCTGGGATTGGGAAGACCACCATTGCTAGGTGTTTGTTCTATCAATTATCCCATACTTTTCAACACAGTGTCTTTCTGATGAATGTTAAAGCAATGTGTACGCCACCGGTTTGTTCAGACGACTACATTGTGAAGTTGCATTTGCAGCAAAAGCTTTTGTCTCAACTACTCAACCAGAAGGAGGAAGATCTCAAGATTTCTCACTTGGGAGTTGCACAAGAAAGACTGAAAGACAAGAAAGTTATTGCTGTTCTTGATAACGTTGATGCGTTAGTACAACTAGAAGCCATGGCCAAAGAAACTCGGTGGTTTGGTCATGGAAGTCGGATTATCGTCACAACGCAAGATCGAAAGATTCTCAAGGCACATGGGATCACTGATATTTACAAGGTTGATTTTCCATCAACTTGTGAGGCTAAACAAATGTTTTGTATGTATGCTTTTGGTCAAAAGTACCCTAAAGATGGTTTTGAGAAGCTTGTACGGGTAGTTACATATCTTGCCGGTAAACTCCCTTTGGGACTAAGGGTTATGGGATCTCATTTTCGTGGAATAGGCCTGTTCGTTCATCACCGCTGCGTCCAGCGGCAGCGTCCGATAATTAAGCCTTTCATCACCGCAGCATACAACGCTGCTGAAGCACCATCCACTTGTTTTCCAGTCACTGCGGCAGCTATCGACAAACGAAACGGACGCGGAAAATTTTAGCGTCACTGGCGTCTGGTTATTTATGTGTCCAGCATTCAATCGGCNCATCACCGCTGCGTCCAGCGGCAGCGTCCGATAATTAAGCCTTTCATCACCGCAGCATACAACGCTGCTGAAGCACCATCCACTTGTTTTCCAGTCACTGCGGCAGCTATCGACAAACGAAACGGACGCGGAAAATTTTAGCGTCACTGGCGTCTGGTTATTTATGTGTCCAGCATTCAATCGGCGTTGTTTTAACTTTTAGTTCTGATTTCTTTTTGTCTTTGTTTCCCTACTTTTCTGAACGCTGCGGCTGGAAGTAGAGGTGATGAAACGAACAGGCCTAATGTCAAAGCAGGAGTGGGAAAATGAACTACCAGAGCTATTGATGTGCCTTGATGGAGAAATTGAGAGCATTTTGATGTTCGGTTATAACGCACTATCTCATGTAAATAAAGATTTGTTTCTTCATATAGCATGCATTTTCAACTTTGGAGAGATAGAGAAAGTGGTGGAGCATCTTTCAAATATATTTCCTGATGTGAGACGACGGCTTAACGTCTTAGCTGACAAGTCTCTCATATCTTTAGAATTTGGATGCGTGATTATGAATGATTTGCTAGTTCAACTGGGTAGAGATATTGTCCGTAAACAGTCTAGTGAGCCTGGACAACGCCAATTTCTGGTCGATAGACGAGAGATTTTTGAAGTATTGACTGATGATGCAGCGGTAAGTTTTGCTATTAGTGTTTTATTGCTCGTTACAAACTGAGATCTGTTTGATAAACTGTAATCATCTCTACCTTATTTTTGGCTTTGTTTTCAGGGTAGTAGAAGTGTTATTGGCATAAAGTACAGGGGAGGCGGAATAAATGTGAGTGAGAGAGCCTTTGAAGTAATGTCTAATCTCCAGTTCTTAAGATTAGATCCAGATGCATTTCATCTATTTGGTGGACGAAGCTATTTACCTCCTAAACTTAAATTACTAGAATGGAGCCATTTTCCGATGACATGTTTGGATTGCATTCCCAACCCAGAGCTCCTCGTGGAACTAATCATAGTTTGGAGCAAACTTGAGAAGTTGTGGGAAGGAACTAAAGTAGGTAACATAATATGTTTTTAACCAAGTTGTTATCATTATTATTGATCAGATTTGTAATGTTATGTAATTTGAAAAAAAAAAAGACTATAGAATAATAGCATGTAACAAATGTGTTCTTGTTGATTTTGTCTGTCAGCCGCTTAGAAATCTCAAGTGGGTGGATTTGGAGGATTCAAAAAATTTGAAGGATGTTTCTAGTCTCACAACTGCCACCAGTCTACATAAATTAAATCTCAAAGGATGTTCAAGTTTGGTGGAGCTCCCTTCCTCTTTTGGGAATGCTAGTAATCTCCAGTTTCTGTCTCTTAGGGGTTGTTCAAGTTTAGTGAAACTTCCATCTTCTATTGGGAATGTCATTCATCTCAAGAAGTTGGAACTCAGTTACTGTTCAAGTTTGGTAGAGCTCCCTTCCTCTATTGGGAATGCCATAAGAAACCTCAAGGAATTGGATTTTACTGATTGCTCAAGTTTAGTGGGAGTCCCTTCCTCTATTGGAAACGCCACTAATCTCAAGAGTTTGTCTTTTATCAGATGCTCAAGTCTCGTGGAGCTTCCTGCCTCTATTGGAAACCTCCATAACCTATCAATGATAGACGCAGAAGATTGTGAGTCTCTGGAGAGACTAGACTGCTCTTTTCTTAATCAAAAGATTGATCTCAACTTCGGCAACTGCTTCAATCTGAATAAAGAAGCGAGAGATGTCATCATCAATACATCGACTAATTATTATGTTACGATCTTACCCGGTAAAGAAATGCCCAACTACTTCAATTATCAAGCTAATGGAGGTTCCCTAGTAATGAAGCTGAACGAGAGGCCTTCACCTTCATCAAAGATATGGAAGGCTTGCATTTTGCTGGTCTGTAAGGATGAGGCTGAAGTTGCTAAAGGAAAAATGGTGCACGTACATCATGGGATCAAACATAATAGACTTGATGTAACGTGCAGTCCAAGTTACTACACTCTGAATTGCCTTTTAACTGAACATCTGTACATCTTTGAATTCAAAGCAGACGTGACTTCAGACGAACTTTTCTTTGAATTTAGAGTCGACAGAGACGAATGGATGATAAAAGAATGTGGAGTGCATTACCTTTAATACCAGTTGATGGGTTGATACATGTAACGTTGTGTTTTTAGTTGTGTATAATTATAAATCATCCTGTTTGTTGTGGTGGGGTTATGAACAGTTACTTATACCCTATGAATGAAGAATAAATGAGGAACCAATTATCTCAAGAACATGGGACATGTTACATTTAATTCAAAATTAACACTTACAAATCTCAGATACTTTGGAACATAAATGTATTAGGATTGAACAATGGCTGAGAATAGAGTTTCTTGTGGCAACTCAGCTTTTGTACCTCTATCATTACCCCCCGGCACGGTTCAAATAGAGCTTGTCCTGCAAGCTCTAGCTTCACCTCAAGCTCTGGATGCTCCATCATTTCCCGAATGTCAAACTCGGACACTGTGATTAACTAATTAGAAAGTCTGTGCTCTTTGCTCTCTGAGTAACATTCTGATACACACGGGATAGCCAAACGACTGTAATTGATTTCTCATGCTTGCACCTTTGTATTTGAACATACGAGACTTGTAAAACTCTCTCGCAGCCTCTGTTGATTCTTCTTGACCAGAATGATTATACCGTCGTTATTACCAAGCGAAAAAAATGATCCCAGATTCCTGTGTAGCAGCAGTGACTGCTAATGGGTCAATTTGGGTTGGGTCATGACCCATTTTGACACCGCTAAGCAGCACCAATTGTATTTTTTCACAATAAGACCATTTTCCAAACTGCAGCAGCCAAATACAGTCTGAGTTATCTGTTTCAAAACAACAATCTGCAACCAGAAATACTCTTGTGCATGCTGCTGCTTCCAAAATAAACCACCAACTGCATTTGTTAAATCTTCTTGTCTTTGAAAAGAAAGAACATACTATCTCTGCAGTCTCTTTCCTGCATGAATGATATATACGCTTGCCGGCTTCAATATAAAGGGATTTATCTCCAACAATAGTCATCTTTTGGATTTTTTAAGTTAAAAGTCATAATAAAGTCTCAGAAAAATATGGAAGCTAGAACAAAAACAAAATTTTGACAAAACTAAAGAGCAAGTAAGAGAAAAAAAGTTCCGGGAATCCTCGAGTTTCTTTTAAAAAAGGAAAATTACTCATCCATGTATTCTTCTTCATCATTGCCTTCTTCCTCTTCTTCACTAAGCTCAAGCTCAGCAAGCAACTCTTCAATAGGCACAGTCGGTGCACCTTCTCCATCTGTCATTGAAGCAGTCTCAGACTCCTCTTGATAATCTTTGTTCTTGTACAATGATATGTTAAACCTCAGCTCAGGGTTCTCTTCAAGATCTCTCAAAAACTCTTCATATTCATTCTCCATTTTCTCTTGATCAACTCTGCCTCCTCCTCCTCCTCCTCTTGACTCATCCATCTCCATTGGAAGCTTCTTAGTCGTAAACACACGAGGTTTCCCCTTCTTCCTCACCCTCTCCTTGTCATAACATTTCTTGATAAGCACCACTTCAGGAAGCCCCCCACTCAAACGACACTTTTCCATCTCATCATCGTTAACATTTGCACCATATACATCATACCCTAAAGCTTCATCTCCTGGTTTCAGGATATGTCCTAGATGAGTTTGGACATAACACATCTTGTCATTGTTCCCTATGTCTGACTCACGTGTAATTTGGACATATGACAAAGCATACTTTTCCCCGCAAACAGGTGGTTCTTCCACATCAAACACTAAGTACTTCACAAGCTGTCTGCTGGTGAGAGCAGATCGAAACCCGGATCTCCAGTACTGTCTAGCGTCCAAGAACGCACACCTCAAGGTTCTAGGATCAAGCAGCGTGATGTTGTCGGAAACTCTCGTGCACACCACAAGCGGACCAAGGCTTCCTAACTCTTTAGCAACGTTGGAAGGCAAGAAGATAAGATCCTCACGGCAAATAGGAGAGATCTTAACAGAGTAAGTGTACTTGTAGTTGTACAAGCTGCTCTTAACATCATGAGACACTAATTGCTTGTCCTGACGATACTCAATGGGAACAACTTTTTTCAAAAACTCAACAAAGCTATTAGCATGACTTTTATTCCCAAAGAAGAAATCAATCCCTTGATGAACTTGCTTGATTCTCACGGCACGAGAAGCAGCATCGTGCCGGAGAATCAACTGTTCGAGATAAAAGAAAGACCTCCTGTGAGAAACATGCTGCCTAAGCTGAACCGAAGCAACCCACTGATCAGGATTAGCCTGAAACCTCGAGCAAGACTCACATAGATTGTCTCTAACCGTATACTCAACGAGATAAGACTGCTCAAGACGAGCACCGTTAAGAACCTCGGCTTGGACAGTGATCTTGACTTTGATTCTCTTGGAATGTGGCTCAGTCCAGACGAACTCAGCGTTCGTGAGAGTGACTTTGTTGAGACTCTTCTTGAGGAGCCTCTTGATGCAGAAAGTCAAGAGATCTTTGGATTCCCATTGAGCTTTGATCCATGTCTTGGGTGGCTGCAAGTAGCAACCACACTCAGGGCAATAAAATATTTGGATACTTCTTTGTAAGCCTTGTGTGATGTCCACTTCGGAACGGAGACAGTTGACACACATATTGGCTGCGTTTGGTGCCATAGGAACACCACACTTGCAACACAAGACACTTGCAATGGTTTGCTCAACCTTGAAGAACATCCCTGAATCTTGATCCATTGCTGACATCTTCTGTAATAACGAAAATTAAACCACAACAAAATCAACAACACAAGACGTGAACCAAGAAACCAATAACACCAGTGTATGTTATGACACCTAGTGCCTTGGAAATTAGGGTTTTAAATCAGAGTGATTGCGAGAATAATGATTATGAGTAGTTGGAACTAAATCCAGATCGGTCTAGGTTAACTATGAAAAAAACGAAGAAGCTTTTGCTTACCTGAGCTAGTTTGAGAGACGAGAGAGGAGGCTCGATTCTGAGGGAGGAAAGAAAAAAAAAAAGAGGTGTGAAAGTTGTGACAGGAAACGTCACAGAGTTTCATAACAGTTTTAGTTTGGTTTTATTTAGTCCCTATCTTATTAGTTTTTATGATTTCAATTAGTCTTACGATAAGGATTAGCTAGCCTATAACCTTATCTCTTATTTGGATTTCCTAAATATGTAACTCTCACGGGTGTTTGGAGAGTAGGCATGGGATTTCGGATATTCGATTTAGATTTGGGTAAGATTTAATCGGTTAACCGCTTTATCTCAAATTTATGTTAACTGGTTTGTTAGTTTATCGGTTTAGTAAACAATATTTGTAAGTGTGTGTTATACCCATTTGGGAATCAATCAAGAGATAGATACAACTTTATATCTTCTTCCCCAGTTTATATGTGTATAAAAATTGCAAGTAATCAGAATTAAAGAAGTTTTAGCTCAACCTGATGAAGAGACTCTTCTGTCAAGCATACCATGTGTCTTATGCTCTCAATCTGATGAATCCATTGATCATCTCTTTTTCAGATGTCTTTTTTCTGCTGCTACTTGGAATTGTTTTTGTGGCAGGTTTATGGCGTCCCTCCACTTTCTCTTGCTTCAATCGTTGACCTGTGCCAGCAACTTCAGCAACATCAGGGACCTCATGCCGCTCGGGCAGTAGCAGTGCTGAAGCTTCTCAACCAAGTCATCATCTACAACCTATGGCGGGAGCGTAATGCACGCATTATCAAAGATGTTTCCTTTCTCAAGAGGCGTTCTTTCGTGTGGTGGACCGGACCATGAGAGATAGGCTTTTGTCTCTGTCTCAACCTGCTAGGACCGCTGCGTCGCCTTCTCTACTTGAGCTCTACTTTTGGTTTCTCTATCCTTATAGTTAATGGTGCTCTCTCTCTACTGCTCTATTGCTCTTTTGCTCTCTTGCCCTTAGGCTCTCTTCCTTTCCTGCTTCTTGTTCCTTGTTTCTTCTTTGTAATAAGTTGTTTTTAACAACATGTAAACTCTAAAAAATAGTATAAATCTTAACATTTAGACAAAAAAAAAGATTTAACAAGTCTACTTGGAATTAAAAACATCGAACACGGAACAAGACGAGAGAGTAACTAAGCAAGACTAACATCGAACCTTCAACGGCAGAACCATCGAAATTTAAGCACCGCCGTTCGTACCATTGTGAAAACCCTAAAGACTCTTTCTTCGTGTCGCCTCTATCTGGATTGGAATTGAATTCCGGAGGGAAAATCAGAATGAGACACAATCAGCGTTTTTATTAGATTGGTTTACGCGAATGTCACCCATTTGGTTCGGTTTAACCTCAACATGTTCGCTTGCTTTATTCTATTTCATTTATTGTGGTTCACCAATTCTTATTTTTGGTTCGGTTTAATCTTAGCCGGTTCACTTTTTGTATTCAATTTCAATTAATATGGTTAGCACGCTTCATGTTTTTGATTCATTCTGAATGACTATGTTGGCACCTCCCTTTGTGATTACGTGTATGTTCCAAGTGTAGTTCCTCTTCAATAATAAGAGAAAAAAGGGTTTTGAATCATGTTCTAAGTTTTAGTTTTAGACTTTTAGTCTCTTTTTTTATTAGTCTTCTGCAACGTAAAGATGTTACTGAATTACATTGTTTCCATTCTTGAGAGGGTTTAGGACCACAGCGAAGCTAGGAAGGGTGGACTTGGTGCACATGCACAGGGTCGAGGCTGAGCCCCATTTCTGTGAAACATTTGAATGGAACTCCAACATTTGAAATGTCCCCAATTTTTTTAAAAAAAAATTTGTTAGCTTAAAAATTATATTTTTAATATAACGTACAATAATACATAAATTTTTCAAATATACATATAGTAATTAAAATACTAATTGAACTATAAATGTATATAATGCAATATTATATAAGGTATGTGCAATAAATTTATTTAAGTATTTTAATTTGATTATAAAAAAACTTTGTAGGTTCAAAAAAAAAATTAGTATGGGTCCCCAAATTTTACAGGCCCGGTCCTGCACATGCATGCACCCACTAGTTTCTGTATTTTCATTTTTTTCCAAGGGAAAATTACATTAATTTAGCCAGGTAACTCTAAAAAACACTTTATGCACCCACACTCTTATTAAGTTTTATGGTTCACAGTTGTATACATGCATACACTATTTTCTGTATTTTTTAAATATTTTTCCAAGGTAAAATTACATAACTTAATCATGTGATGACTGTAAACAAAACTCTATTACTTTATGCACCCACTACACTATATATTATTAAGTTCTATGGTCCATAGTTGTATACTTTCAGTAAGACTTATGATACATATAATTTTCGTTTTTGAAAATGACAGGAAATAGAATTTCGTTATCAATCTGAAAACAAACAAACGAAGTCAGTTGCAATAGTTTATCGTTGTTAGGTCAAAGGAAAACTCGTTTTTATTTCTACTATTTTCCTATTATATGTTATGTTGGTTGACCAGATGGTATGACTCATCAAGTCATATAGCTCTTTCTAACTATTACTGTGCATTTTTCTAAAAAAACATGTATATTAGGTTGGTTGAACTTATGATAATGACCCATCAACGTATCTATCATAAAACTGCCAACTACCAGCTATGATTTGACCATATGTGATAGAGAGCGGAAGCTTATTAACCTAACTTGAGGATGAAGTAACGATAAAAGGGGCGCGAATACTCTTCGCAGTGTTCGTTAGAACTCTTTAGGGTTGCGAATACTCTTCGCAGTGCTTATGCTGAAGCTCTTAAGAAAACCAATAGTTATTATTAATTCAAAACGTGAATGTAAAACATAAGGTTGTTCTCCTTATATAGGAGCTAAACAATTCCTAAACCGACAAGTATTGTAAAAATAGAAAAGAAAAGAAATCAAATTAATTAAAGGAAAGATGGTGATGATGTCGGTTCCATGTGAACGGTAGGAACATGGTTTACGCTGCATCAGGTTCCCCCGGGGTGAGAAAGATTCGTCCACGAATCTGGATCGTCATTATCACCATGGTATGGAGACAAATGCTTGACGTTGAAAACATTAGAGGTGCGTAGATGATCCGGAAGTTGAACGCGGTACGCATTGGGGTTAATGCGCTCGAGGATTTCACACGGACCGACTTTCTTGGACTTGAGCTTGTTGTAGGCACGGAGAGGAAGACGTTCCTTTGTCAAGTAGACCCAGACCAACTCGCCGGGTTCAAAAAGAACTTCCCTGCGCTTCTTATCAGCTGTAGCCTTGTACCGGGTAGTTGCGTCCTCCAAGTTTCCCTGAGCCTGTTGATGAATCTTCTGAATATCAGACACAAAGTCGACGGCCTCTCCATGATGTCGCGTACGATCAGGTGTGGTGGCTAAGTCCAGGGGACAACGCGGAGTGATCCCATAGACGACATAAAAAGGAGAAAACCCGAGACTACGATTCAATGCATGATTGTGCGCAAATTCCGCCTGTGATAATTTTGTATCCCAAGATTTGATATTATCTCCGACAAGACAACGAAGAAGATTACCTAACGAACGATTAGTAACTTCCGTCTGTCCATCGGTTTGCGGATGATAAGCCGAACTCATATCCAACGAAGTTCCCAATAACTTCCACAACGAACGCCAAAAGTGACTAAGGAATCTTGTATCCCGATCAGAAACTATCGATGTCGGCAACCCGTGTAGACGATACACTTCACGGAAGAATAGAACCGCTACCTTGACTGCATCAGTTGTCTGTTTGCAGGCGATAAAGTGGACCATCTTGGAAAAACGATCAACGACAACGAAAATTGAATCATGCCCACGCTGTGTTCGAGGGAGTCCCAAAACAAAATCCATACTCACGTCTGTCCAAGGTTGAGTAGGAACGGGAAGTGGCAAATACAGACCCGCATTTGAAGCACGCCCCTTAGACTGTTGACATATATGACATCGCTCGACGAAACGCTCAACATCTTTGCGCAAGGATGGCCAAAAATACGAGAGGGAGACCAATTGTAGCGTGCGATCCCGCCCTACATGACCCTCCGTGTGAAGTTCGCGTATGATTTCCAACCGGAGGCTGCATTGAGGAACGCACAAGCGAAGATCTTTGAACAGGAAATCCTCATGTATGACATAGTCGCGAGACAAACCTTGTGATGCCTCTGCAAAGATACGCCCAAAGAAAGGATCCGTCGGGTATAATTCAGCAAAGGACGCGAACCCAAGAACTTTGGTGTGCATGGTAGTGAGCAACCCATGCCGTCGACTTAGGGCATCCGCGACACGATTAGACTTNAGCGAAGATCTTTGAACAGGAAATCCTCATGTATGACATAGTCGCGAGACAAACCTTGTGATGCCTCTGCAAAGATACGCCCAAAGAAAGGATCCGTCGGGTATAATTCAGCAAAGGACGCGAACCCAAGAACTTTGGTGTGCATGGTAGTGAGCAACCCATGCCGTCGACTTAGGGCATCCGCGACACGATTAGACTTTCCCGATTGGTGTTTGATAGAAAACGTGAATTGTTGCAAATAGGAAATCCACGAAGCGTGCCTGGAAGAAACCTTGGCCTGGCTGTCGAGGTGACGTAATGCGTCATGATCAGTAAATAAGACGAACTCACGGTGTACTAAATAGTGACGCCAATGTTTAATAGCTTGAACAATGGCGTAGAACTCGACATCATAAGTGCTATACCGACCACGAGCACCTGCGAGTTTCTCACTATAGAAAGCGACCGGTCGCCCCTGTTGACTTAAGACGGCGCCTATACCCAGTTTAGAGGCGTCGCAGTGGAGCTCGAAGGGCAAGGAAAAGTCGGGAAGGACAAGTATTGGGGCTGTCGTCAGTTTTTGTTTGATGAGAACAAATGCTTCTGTCGCTTCGGACGTCCACTGGAACTTTCCATCCTTCATGCAGCTTGTAATAGGGGCCATGATGGTGCTGAAGTGATTGACAAAGCGCCTATAGAAAGAAGCAAGACCGTGGAAACTACGGACTTCAGAAACGGTTGTAGGCGTCGGCCATGATTTCACGGCTTCGATTTTAGACTCATCAACGGCTAAGCCTCGATCAGAAACCACGTAACCAAGAAAAAGAACTTTGTTGACGCCAAATTCACACTTCTGTTGTGCAGCATAAAGCTTTTCTTCACGAAGAACTGTAAGAACCTTGCGTAAATGATCAGTATGGTCGTTTATGGACGAGCTAAAGACCAAGATATCGTCGAAGTAGACGACCACAAATCGTCCAATAAAGGGACGTAAGGCTTGGTTCATGATGCGCATAAACGTACTTGGTGCATTAGATAACCCAAAAGGCATTACTAACCACTCAAAGAGACCTTCGCGCGTCTTAAATGCGGTTTTCCATTCATCGCCCGGGCGAATACGTATCTGATGGTAGCCGCTTTTTAAATCAATCTTGGAAAAGATTTTAGCGTTGCCAATCTGATCCAAAAGGTCATCCAACCTCGGTATGGGAAAGCGATAGCGAACCGTGATTTTGTTGATTGCGCGACTGTCTACACACATACGCCATGAGCCATCTTTCTTGGGTATTAAAAGAGCCGGTACAGCACAAGGACTAAGACTTTCTTTAATGTGTCCTTTGCGTAGAAGATCCTCGACCTGTCGTCGCAGCTCCTCGTGCTCTGTAGGACTCATCCGATAGTGAGGCCGGTTCGGTAGTGTTGCGCCTGGAACCAAGTCGATTTGGTGTTGGATATCTCGAAGTGGAGGCAGTCCCTCGGGTAGTTCCTTGGGGAATACGTCACTGAACTCTTTCAACACATTGTCGAGAGGTGAAGCGATTGGTGTGGTAAGACTGCGATGTGTTTGTGCTGGAACGAGGGCGAAAGCAATCCCTGCAGCTTGAAACTCGGTCAAGAAAGACCTATAGGAGCATAAAAGGGATGCGGGGGAAGAGACTGATGTTGCTTTGGTGGTGTCTTGTGGTGGTGCTGGTGTAGGAGGTACTAATGGCGTCTCCGGGGAGGGTACAAGGATGATGTGCCTATTGTCCCACATGAAACTATACGTGTTCTTGGCGCCATCATGAATGATCTTGCGATCAAACTCCCACGGACGGCCGAGAAGGAGGTGACAAAAATCGACAGGAGCAATATCACAATAGATGCGATCATTGTAATGCTTCCCGACAGAGAAAGGAACAATAGCTCGCTGGGTGATACGGATGGTAGCTGTATTGTTAAGCCATCCCAAGTTGTAAGGAGCGGGATGCTTCTCGCGTGTGATACCCAATTTGTCCACTGCTTCTTCGGAAACAACGTTACGGTAGCTGCCGGAATCAATAACGAAACTGCAGATTCGGTCTTTGATGGTACAAGTGGATCGAAAAATGTTAGTACGCAACCACTTGTCGTCTTGGCGAAGTGGCGAAAGACAGGTTCGATGGAGAACTAAGAGCTGTCCACTATCTCCCGTTGTGTGGTGAACCGTGGTGTCAGTATCCTGAGCATCTTCTTCCTGAGAATCATACACATCCTGGTCATCAATGGAATCGTCGATAACCAGGCCGCGTCGGGTGGAGTGAGGGCAAGCAGTTTGTCGATGACCTGCTTCGCCGCAAGAGTAACAACGCAAGGCGCTTAAACGCGTGGAGCGTCGTAGATTTTGCTCTTCTTGGGGAGACGTCTTCGAAGCTGATGCCGTGGTGTCCCCGGGCTCCTTGGTGGAAGAGGAAGGGTTGGTGCTGGATGTGTTATCGGAAGGGCGAGGGCGAGCGGATGAAGAGCTCCAATTAGAGGATCGGTTTTGTTGTTCAAAAGATGCCGCACGCCGGTGAGCTTCTCCGATTGTGGAGGGGTCAAACTGTGCCATTGCCGTTTGAAGTTGCGGGCGTAACCCCCCAATGAAACGTGAGACAAGCTGAACTTGACTGTCATTAATTTCGTTACGTGTGAGCAGTAACGAAAATTCCTCGGCATATTCATCCACACTACGCGACCCTTGACGAAGATTCTGTAGTTTTGTGTACATAGTGCGTTCGTAATTATGAGGCAAGAAAGTCTGACGCAGATGTTTGGTTAACTTTTCCCATGATTGAATGGGGTCTTTTCCTGTGCGAGAACGTGTAGTTTTAAGTTGTTTCCACCAAGTCGCAGCGTGTCCTCGAAAACGCATAGCCACAAGAGGGACTCGTCGAGCTGGCGGAACTTGTTTAAACTCAAGAATCTCTTCAACGGAAATCAACCAATCAATGAGATCATCACCTTTAAGACCGCCATGGAATTCAGGTATGTCAACCTTAAAGCTGTTTTCCCAGCGATGATCGCGAGCGTCCCGTTGTCGAAGGTCTTCCCGAAAAACGCGTCGATGATCGTCGTCTTCGTCGTCATACATGTCTTGATCGCGTGCATCTTCGAGCTGGTGGCGGGGGTGGAGTCGTTGTTGTTGTTGCCGATGGGGTGGATGGATAGGTGGAAGGCGTTGTTGTTGTTGAACGGGTGGGAAGGGAGCATGATCGACGAGTGGAACCTGAGGATTCACACGAGCCGTTAATGCTGTTGTCAAGGCGTCAAGTCGGGCTGCTAGGGTTCCGACGGTGTCACCTAGTTGTTGGATGGAGGCTTGAGTGGCTGTTTGCATCTGAATTAGGGTTTGCAATTCAGTCAGATCTGCTGCGGCGTCGTCCGGGTTGAGGTCTCGAACGTCACCGCTAGTTCCTGCTGTTTTCTTAACCATTGTGTTCCCAAAAACGTGCTGATTCTGATACCAACTGATAGAGAGCGGAAGCTTATTAACCTAACTTGAGGATGAAGTAACGATAAAAGGGGCGCGAATACTCTTCGCAGTGTTCGTTAGAACTCTTTAGGGTTGCGAATACTCTTCGCAGTGCTTATGCTGAAGCTCTTAACTTTTGGTTATCAATAATAATTAAGTTTTGCACTTACATTTTGTATTGGTTGTTCTCCTTATATAGGAGCTAAACAATTCCTAAACCGACAAGTATTGTAAAAATAGAAAAGAAAAGAAATCAAATTAATTAAAGGAAAGATGGTGATGATGTCGGTTCCATGTGAACGGTAGGAACATGGTTTACGCTGCATCAATATGGTATGAACCACCACAGAGATTGTTATATATAAATATATAGTCTGCTTCCTTCTTGTTGATAATTCAGAGGAAAATATTTGTATCCAAAAAAACTACTACTAGAATCTTTCAAAGTTTACGACAATGGCTTTTTCTTCAACGCTGTCGATGCTGCCACTCGATTTGATAAGAGAAATAATTTTGAGGACTCCAGCAGAATCTCTGGTCCGATCAATGCTAAAATGCAAGAAGTGGAACACTCTCATCAACGACAAGGACAAGAAGTTCATCTACGAACACTTGGATCGCTCCCCCGTACGATTCCTAAGAACTGACCAGACGGTACAAGCCATGGATCTGGTGAACAGAACACGTTCACACTTACCAATCCTAGACAATTTTCCATACTTCATGTCAGATATGCGATACTCGATTCACTGTGATGGACTCATGTTGTGTTCGTGGGATAACCAATGCTCATTCCCTAAGGTCAAGTTCACCAAGCTCGCCCTTTGGAATCCCCTCACAAGGAATATCAACTGGGTCGAACCTAGGCCCTCCTCTCGATTGTTCGTGACTTTTGATTACTACGGGATCGGATACCAAAATAATAGTCGATGTGATTACAAAATCTTGAGGTTTGCAGCTAGACACTATAAAGCACCGGTTGAGATATACGAGTGCAAGTCGAAGTTGTGGAGAATCCTTGATGAAGTATTGGCTTGTTAAGGGAAACATGTACTGGCTTGTTAGGAAGGAGCTTAGCAGCAAAAGCTACATTTTAGGTTTTGATTTCTCCGATGAGATATTCAAGGACATATGTTCTTGTCATCTCCCTTACAAAAATAACTATCTTGGCTGCTTCAGTGGGGATAGTTTGTCTTTGCTAGAACAAAACAAAGAAGTAACAAGTCTGATCGAGGTGTGGGTTTCAAGCAGGTTAGCTGATGGGAGTGTCTCGTTTAAACAATATTTCAGAGTGGCCAGCCCCGATATCCCGCAGTCACGGTTGTTTTCATTTTCTCCTCGTCTGGTATATTGCATGATCTTCATTGCCGAGCACAAACGTATCATGGCATGGTATCAGGACCGTCTCAATTAAATTTTAGACCATGTTCAACACAAAATTAATGATATATTTATGATTTAATAACTTCTAAATAGTTAATAACTATGTTTGATGTTTCTTTAAACTATAAGTTCTAATTTAGCAATATATCTAAATTTGTTTTAAAAATATCATAATTTATCTATATATTTCTTAAATTTTTCCTTATTTTTTCTTTATTTTTTTTTATTTTTATATTTGGGGCCTTGTTTGACCGCTCCACTTACACATGCTATTAGACGGCCATGCATGGTATGCTTATACTACTGGCATGTTTCTTTATGAAATCGATGAGGAAGGGGTAAGTAATTATTATTTTAAAGAACAAGGCTACAAGGATAACTATCATGACACCTTCCAGAGTGGTTACGTCTACGTTCCAAGCCTGATCCCTATACCATGATAAGAGGGTTGTTTTGAGATCTGCTGGGTTACGCCTTTGGATCCAGTTTTTTTGTTATAATTTCATTATCTCAGTTTATGTTAACCGGTTAGTTGGTTTACCGGTTTAGTAAACAATATTTGTAATCGTGTGTACCCATTTGGGAATGAATCAATCAAATACAACTTTCAATATCTTCTTCCCTAATTTATATGCATATAAATACTCCAAGTAGTCAGAATTAAAGAAGTTTTAACTAAAATTGAATACAAACAAAAAGAAATCAATTTGTAGTAAAGCTTGAATAAATCCCCTATATATTAATTGAGAAACATTTGAAAAGATGTAACCTCAAGTTTGTATTAATTAAAAAGTAACCTTGCTTAGTTGTCAATCAATTAGCATACCAATTAAACTAACGTGGCAGCTTTAGGTTCAATTGAAATTTGCTAGAGAAAAATAATTAGAGACGCATATAACGCATGTAACATAGTTTATATCTCTATAATATTATTTGAGAAGTCACTTTCTTAGGTGTCACGCTCACGTTAACTTTCGCGATGGTTGATTACATAGATACCCTTAATGAATTATTAGATTTTAAGTTTATTATTAATTTTTTTTATTTAGTTTCTTTTTTACTTTTTCCAAATAACATATATAATAAAAAGGAAATATTTCTAAAATTTTAGAACAGATTTAAAAACGAAAATATATGTATATAATATGACTTTATTAAAAAGGAAAGTTCACAAAATAGTAATATACCCTATTAATATATATTTTTAAATAACATATAATATATTTTCAAAATAATAAAATATATATGTTCATGAACATCCAAAACTTATCAGTTACACTTTATTTTCTAATACTTTTAGAAATCAACATATAATTTGATAAATAGTATTAAAATACTTGTATATTTAAACGATAAATAAAACTAATTTGATTTGACTTACCTAAAATAAGGAATAAATCAATATTATGACAATAAAATAACTAAACCGACTATTGATCCGAAATGAATATAAGAAAATTAGTCATAGTTTATTATATTTACAATAAAAAATATTATAGCTGAATTCGAAAAATAAATATTATCCGATATACCAAATTGATAACCAAACCAACTATTGATCCATAACTAAACCGACAATAATATATCCAAAGTCATATGTATAAATAGAATAATATAATATTTATTAATATAAATTATACATATAAATTGATACAAAACTAAAACTAAATATCAATTAATTATTATAAAATTTTATTTTTATGAATATTTATACCCGTGCATGAGCACGGGAAAATCTCCTAGTATTTATATATATCGCACGCATGTAATGGAAGAAAAGGAAAATATACGATTTGATAACGATTTGCATATATTAACTATAATAACTTCATTCCTTTTAATTTATGGAAGTGTATATGTAAAATGGAAATTACTTTGTGACCAAGTACATACTTAATGGTAAAGGCAAGTGTATATGTAAAATGTAAAACTTAATATGTTA